GGTCACCCATTTTGTATATTTTATTAGTTCCTTGCTTTTCAGTGCTGCATAATATTCCACTGTATAATGATGAGTATTGTATATTATTTCTAAAAATCTCTTTTATATTTGCATTGAGTGTCTCATTGCAAAAAACTTCATGAAAAAAAGAAGCCAAATAATATATTGTCCTCCTTGCTGCCCAGAATGAGTTGCAGAAGGTTTTCACTTCCACCTCCAAAGGAGTCTCCTTTCTACCCCTATAACTGCAAGCACCTATTGGGCTATGTCTCCTTTCTGCCCCATTACCTAAAATCCCACTCATCCACAGAGTTGGCTCTTATATCCACTAATGAAACAGTCCTTGTCAGTTCAAGAGCTTGTCTCCTTCTTCAAATTATCCTGCACATTATTATCATACCCAAACAGTCCTGATAATGTATATTCAGACTTAGGACCTTTCGCTGGATTCTCAGTGCCAGCATAGCCAGTTGCGAATCTTTGAGAATACCTCTGAATGTTCTTTCTACCTTCCACCTCCTTCCTAGACCCAATTTCCTCAGGTGGCCATTCCTTTCCTCTCATTCAGTTCTAATAGAACTCCTCCCACATTGTGGGTCTTCAATGAAAATAGAATGGGTGAAGAACTGAATGACAACCATGTATCCTTAAAAGTGTGTAAAAATTTTTCATTACTGCAGCGCCAGCAAGAGCGACGCCCCCAAATGGGAGAATGCCGCCGCCAGACGGGGTTCCACCGCGAGAGGGGCCTGGAAGAGACCCGGGAAGAACAACAGCCAGCCACCTACTGCGGAACTCCAGAGGAGCGAAGACTGTGAGACCCCAGTGGAACGAAGACTACCTGACACTGTGTGACCCCCCTGCAACCCACACCTGTGTGACCCTTAACACACAGGGTGCTGCTGCATAAACCCTCAGCAGTGCCCAAGCCCCGCCCCCACCTCTTGGTTATAGTATCCAAGCCCTGCGCTCATTACCCCCTAGTCCCTTGCTTTCCTCCCCTTCCCCCAACCCCCTTGCAGCTCCACAACCACACATCTCAACCCCCACCAAAGCCCTGTGACCTCAGGGCATCACCTTGGATCCAGCCATCACCCCAAGCTATCAGGCAATCTGTTGAGGAACTAACCTGGCAGGAGAAAGGATGGTAGGATCTTATCTGTGTTTACACAGATAAGATCCCACAGGTGGGGAATTTGGCAGAGTTCTCTTGGGCTACACCAACTGCCCAAAGCTAGCCAGCCAGCTGGCTTCTGTGAACTCTGCAGACCAGCCAGAGGCTAGTGGGTGGGTGGGAATTTTACCTTGACTTTTCGGATCCCGTGGGACCCAGGACCCTGCTAGAGCAGGGGCTATTGTGTGAGGGCACCTGCATAAATGCCACCAGGCAGGGAACACTGAGAAAACCACTGGGTAGGAAACAGACAGCAGGAATTTTAGTTAGGAACCCCATCGTGAACACACTGAGACAG